TCTTCAAAGAACCTGGCCACTTTGCGTATCGGCTCCTTGATACTAATTCTGCCGCTCTCGATATCCTCGGATATTCCATCATCGAGAGGCTCAGCAATCATTGTGACCTTGTTCAGTTTGTTCGGCGTTATTGAATAGCACATGATAGCTGACGTCTCAACAACTGTCTCGCAGAAACGAGTGACGGGGTCAGAGACCTTAATTTCCATTTCGGAGAACAGCCTGCGAAGGTCGTGAAGCACACAATCCATATAGAGCTCCCCTGTCCCCAAGATTACATGTTCTCCAGACTCCTCTACCTTCGTTGAAATGAGAGGGTAACTCTTGTTAACTTTGCGAAGACCTTCCAGCATTTTAGGAAGTTCAGACGGGTTTACTGGCTCAACTGCGATCTTGAAAACAGATTCGGTCATATGTCGAATCGGTTTGAAAATATGTGCCTCCTCGTCATCTTCAAATTTGGTGGATGCCAGAGTTGCCGTTTTGACAATAGAATTATCCACGCCTCCAAGAAGAACCATATTCCCAGCCGTGACACCGTTGGTCGGCATGTTGTATCGAGTTTCGGGGATCCATGTGTCTGAAATAGTAGCATGGACCATGTCTTCTTCATCGTCAGGTGTATATCCCTCTCCGAGCACTCGAACCTGCTGGCCTGGCTGGGCGGTCCCACTCATTATCCTTCCAAGAGCGTTGAACCGCGAAGCATCCGTGTTTGCTAAAAGTTTCGTGACAAGGATCATCAGCGGACCATCCGGATCACACTTAACCATAGAGGTTGCGATCTTAGTGTCCAATGGACCAGTATAATATCGGTCCAAAGTACGCTTCGCACCCTCTACTGGGGAAGGTATGTGTCGTAAAACCATGTCCACGAACCCCCCGGCAGGTCCAAAGAACTGTTCGCATACCAGGTCGAGCAGCATCTTCGCATCTGATCTGAGCTGTGACGGCTTCAAGCTAATGCCTACGCTAGTAAGCGTTTCTTTCAAATCTTCAGGGCTCTCGCTGAGAGTGTGTGAGTAGAGTTTGTAAATGGGCTCCAAGACGAACTTAACAAAAGTCCGTTTGGAATTCTCCTCAACTCCTTTCCGAGTGAACTTTCGACTCCTTGGGTTAAAGAAAATATCACCCCAAAGGCGTAAAGCAAAGTCCGCCGTTTCGACCTTAGGGTAATTTGCGGCATACTTCTTGGCGAACGACTGCAGAGTGAAGCACCATTTCATTGAAGCACAAGCAAAAGCGACATTTCCTTTCTCTGGACTCAACCGTCGTTTCTCTCCGTGTCCGGGCACAACACTCTCGATGATTGTGTTAACCTCTTCGATAACATGTTTCAGTTTGAAGTAGGCATCGTTCGGAGGTATTTTGAGCTCTAGAATCAGTCTGTCCATCTTGTTCACCACCATTGTCAAAGGCAGATCCTCCAGGATTGCGTGCTTGATGATCTGTTCAGTATTTGCCTGCACGCCCTCCACAACATCAATGACGAGAACAACGCCATCAACCAATCGAGATGAGGCAGCTACCTCATCTACAAAATTCACATGCCCTGGAGTATCAATGATATTGAACAGATGCGATTTCCCTTTCGAACTTTGAAGTACCATACTCATAGGCGCCGACTTGATGGAGAGGCCTCGCTCTCTTTCCAAGTGGTGAATATCGGTATAACGAAGTTGCTCTTCTCTTTTTCTTCCCGTCTTCTTATCAAGCCGCTCGGCCAAATCATGTGTCTGCATGACAAGCATGTCCATAAATGCTGTTTTCCCGTGGTGAAGATGACCCACCAACGCGACATTTCTTGTTTGTTCAGGAAAGTTAAGCAGGTCTGTCATGAACTCGCGCGAGTAGAAGACTGGAGGCAGATCGCTCTCCTCAACTGAGAATTTCTTTTGGGTAACAGGGGCAATGATAGGTTCTGAAAGTGGTTGTGAATCCTCTTCCTGGACCAAAGTCTCGACATTTTCACCATATATTTGTTGTGCGCTCGGATAGTACTGCTTATCTTCGTGTAGGATAACAGCGTTGGATGGGCCTTGTGTAATGAGTGTAAAGTGTTAGAGAAACCACGCGGTTGATCGAAGACGAAAAGGGTTGCTAGCATACCGTCCACTTCCATCAATTCCTGCTGAATTGCTTCATCATCCTCATCTGCACCAAACGTTTCGTCATAGTTGAAGGTCTGTGGCTTGATGTCTTCATGTTGGAGCTCTTCATCGGATTCTGCAGCCTCACCGATGTAATTACCAAACCTGGACAGCTGGTCAGCCAAATCACGCACAAATTAGGAAAACGAGAGGCTAGGATAGAAATCCCGGCATAGTTAAATCATACTCATCATAAAGGTCATCCATTATGCTGTTCTGGGGATACTCCAGTTGCACCAAAGCTCTGAAGGCCGATGGTGCATTACTTTTTTCTCAGCCGGTACGAGCTCTTCGGGGTAACTTCAAGAACTCCCCACCGAGCTTGGCGTTCCCGTTTACAAGATCTGAGCCCGCTGATGGACGGTTAGGGTAATTCACCACAGAATTTTCCAGGGAAAATGAAGAATATATGGATTGGAATTTCTTAAATACTTAAGAGCCTCCTATGATTGTTGATTTCGGGAATACTGGGATTTTCCAGACCTAAATTTACATATCTTTGTGCCTTCAGGGCTACCTATGCCTGTTCCTACCTACGTATTCTCCGTCCCACCCCACCTCGCCGACACCGCTCAACCGCCCTCCTTCAGTTTTCGAGGTATATAAAAGGGGGTTGAGCTCTCCGTGGTGCGATTTTGCTAGAGTTCATTTCGTTGTGTATCTCGAGCCGATTATTGTTCACTCCCAGACTCAGTCTTCTCCCCCGAACGTTGATATCACCCGGCATAGACCTCATCTTTCTTTAATCAAACTCCCTTCCAACATGGCCTCCCTTCCCCCTGTCTATATCGTGTCCTATGCTCGTACGCCGGTGGGTTCATTCTTGGGGTAAGAACACTTTACATTCTATTTTACGGAATGACATTGCAGCGTGCGCTAACGCTCTGCTCTTTCCGCAGCTCTCTCTCGAGCCAAACTGCCCCGCAGCTTGGTTCGCATGCGATCAGAGGTATAGTGCATTCGCTCCCGTTGAAACTTCCAGGTTTTTAACAGGGGTTGAATCTAGCCGCCCTTGAAAGGGCCAATGGGGTCAAGTCTTCTGACGTCCAGGAGGTTTTCTTCGGAAACGTTCTCTCGGCTAAGTGAGTACCAGCCGCAGAATTTGTCAGAACCATAAACATCATAATTGGTATAGCGATATTAATCTCTTCGGCATAGTGTTGGCCAGAACCCTGCCAGACAATGCGCTCTCGGTGCCGGTCTCGAGGCGTCGACAGTGTGTACCACTGTGAACAAGGTTTGCGCTTCAGGCCTGAAAGCCATTATTCTTGGAGCGCAGACTATTATGACGGGAAATGCGGATATCGTTGTGGCTGGTGGAACCGAATCTATGTCGAACACTCCTCATTACCTCCCCAACCTTCGAGCCGGTGCTAAATACGGTAACCAGACCATGGTTGACGGTATTGTGAAGGACGGGTTGACGGATGTAGGCAAGCAAGAACTCATGGGATTGCAAGCAGAGGAATGTGCCCAGGATCATGGCTTCGACAGACAGCAGCAGGATAATTACGCCATTCGATCATACGAAAAGGCCCAAGCTGCTCAGAAGGCTGGCCTTCTTGACGATGAGATAGCACCCATTGAGCTGCCTGGTTTCAGAGGCAAGCCAGGTGTTACAGTATCTCAGGATGACGAACCAAAGAACGTAAGATCCCATGTCCCGGCTTTTAATGGCAGATAACCTTGGACATTGAACTAACATGGTCATTCAATAGCTCAACCCTGATAAGCTGCGCGCTATCAAGCCCGCATTTATTCCTGCAAATGGAACAGTGACGGCCCCCAACTCATCACCTCTTAACGATGGCGCTGCTGCAGTTGTCTTGGTCTCCGAGGCCAAGTTGAATGAGCTTAACTTGAAGCCAGTTGCGAAGATTCTTGGTTGGGGCGATGCGGCACAGCAGCCCAGCAAGTTTACTACCTCCCCAGCCCTTGCAATTCCCAAGGCCCTCCAGCATGCTGGCGTGTCCCAGGATGCGGTTGATGCATTTGAAATCAACGAAGCGTTCAGCGTGGTTGCCCTCGCAAACCTGAAATTGCTTGGCCTCTCTGAGGAGAAGGTCAATGTCCACGGAGGAGCTGTGGCTATTGGTCACCCCCTTGGGGCTAGTGGCGCTCGTATTCTTACAACCTTGCTCGGAGTTCTAAAGGCTAAAGAGGGCAAGGTCGGCTGTGTAGGTATTTGCAACGGTGGCGGCGGTGCCAGTGCTCTGGTTGTCGAGTATCTCGCTTAATCGCAGCCATAATTGCGGTGGTGACATTTGCTACACCTTTAATAGTATAGTCACCATGTTTTTATCATGACCTCATGCTTCGACCAGAGATATCACAACGTATACTGTTCAGAATATTGTATTTTTGCTTTCACGCAGGGCAATGTAGGCCATTTCCTTTATCCATTGATTGCCTTTGACTAATCTAGTTTTTGCGTTTCCTTTACTTTTAGCGCACACCGATTCTGACGTATTATTTATGTATGCTTAATACTAGTGCGTACTATCACTTCTGGGATAGGAAAAAAAAATATACTATAATGATCCATTCTTGATATCCTTGGGCAGACGGGGTTAGAGGAATTAGGATAGGTGTGAATATCCGTTCACATGTAAAACAGTATAGAAGGATAGATAATACAAATTAACATTTTTATGGCTGAATAGTGTAATTTAATAGGCTATAAGCCTGGGTTGGATTCCTTGCAAAGTAGGTTACATATATATAACCCCTACATCCACTAGTTTATTACTATCTATTGATATACCGTGAAACTATAGGTAAGCCATCTGCCTACCCTTTAGTTTTAAATTATAGAACCCCCATTAGGTAAGGCCATAAAATGATCACCCGGGAGTATGCTGGCATATAAAGTGGTATGACAGGGGGATGGCTGGTGCTAATTAGTATTTTCATGGCCAATAGTATAATCCGATAATAAAAATCGTTAACCGTGTTCCGTGGAGAACGCATATAAATGCGGAATGGAAGAGGGCAGTGGTGGGGGCAATATATATATATATATATGTGCATGTGTGCGCGTGTCCGTGTATATATTATATACTATGCAAACCGTAAAATGTAAGGATAAGGTATATTATGAACCCCCCCTCCCCCAAGTTACAATAAGGCCTAAGCAAATGCCCCCACGAATGCCATTAGAAGTGCACCAGCTGCAACCGCTAGACATGCCTCAAAGCGTCGGCGACCCTGTAGAGTCACATAACTCTCTTCACTGAGAAAATCTTCGGCTAAAAGTTCTACCAAGCCGGCGAAGAGCAACAGTCCGCTGCTTATTGCGTTTGTGATCCCGACCATTAGAAGCCCTGTAGTGCTGGCTGGGTCATAGAAGTTATGTAAAACCAGCCCAATGGCTTGACCAATAGGGGTTGTGGTTCCATAGGCGATGGACATGAGCCATGGCTTCATTGACGAGGGGGGAAAGAGATCTGGAATCAGCGATGCAATCCGAGAGCCGAGAGCGAAACCCTCGAATGTTTGATGAAAGCAGATGGCCACTAGGAGAACAACAAACGAAGTGCCCGTAGCGACACTAACAGCCATCCCAATGAAGACACTGTGGAAAAGAATACCAGCCTCGAGGAGGAGACATTGCAAGAGTTGACGCTTAGGGTTTTGTAGGGAAATTTTAGGATCAGTATGAGACGTCGCAGACTGGGAAACGTAATGGCGAGAATGTGTTGGACGCCGATTCGTGTCGGCACAAGAAATCTCGTCACCGCCGTCCTCCACAGCACCAAACGTGCTCTCCTTTAGATGATTAGAAGACCTCTCCGGACCGAAATTTTCTGTCGAGTTCCTTAGACGACTATCGTGCGTTCCTGATGAAGCGGGCATCCGATCCTCATGCATTGAGGAAAGATGGATGTTGTCTGTTGATTCACTTGCCTCGAGTCGCGAATAAACTGAGTCGCCAGGCTGATCATCGCCACTTAAACCCACACTATCGCCGATTAATTGATCATACTCGCTCCCATGGACGTGACCTGCGCCCTTCATCGCGAAAAACATTTCCACCAACACGACGCCAAATACCGAGATCATCGCGACGAAGCCAGCCATAGCGCGATAGCTCTCGCTCCAAAACCGAGGGAGACAAGGATCAGTCAAGGAAACAAAAGCTGTCGGGAGTAAATGAACAAATGCCGTGGCAATCAGAACTCCAGTCCCAAAATGCCTTGATATAAAGAGAAACCGCCGGGGTATCGGCAGGCGCGGAAATCGGCGAGCGAGGATAGGAAACGAACAAGCTTTTTTCAAGAACATAGGTTAAGTGAGAATAGGATTCGCAATAAGAAGATGGACCTACCCAGCGTGCTCAACACTAGAATGAGAAATAGTGCCATTACATGGAGTGGGGTGTTGTAGGTGCCCTGTTTGATTGATCCGCATGTAGGTTTATCGTCGCCCGTATCACGATACATGTTTCGTCGCGAAAGCTCCTCTTGGAGGAGAGCATCTGATACCCCTGAAAGCGCGGGGACGCTAAATCGAGACCCTATGGCAGATTAGTTATACTGTTGAGGCCGGTGGCGGTCTACGTGTGATAAGACAGCCAACATTTGAGAGACTCACATGTGGTCTCCATGCCTTTATGTTGTAACATCATATCATGAATTTCATGTGATCAATTATTGCGAGTTCTTTAAGCTCAGACGTATCCATGACCCGGATAGAATACCGATAAGTTGATGATTGTGTGATTTCGTTGATAGTCGGTGTCGGCACTTTAAAGGGGGGAAAAATGCGTGGGGGACTTGGGTTAGATTTAAGGTGTGCCAGGTTGACCTAATATATTTATGAAAATGTAGCCATCATATACTGAGAGCAGACATAATGTGGAAGGGGTAGTGCGCTCAAGTAAGTCAACACGTTGCTTTGTGTTGGTTATTATCTTATCAATCAACAGAAAAAGTTAAGTTAGTTACTTAGTTAAGTTAGTTAGTTAACTACTGTTGTTTAGTCAGCTTCGAGGAGTCCACTAACTAACTTAGTTAACTCACTCAACTCAGCTAGTTACACAACTTGGCTTAGTTACTACTCGTTAACGTACTCCCTTTTCATCAACTAGCTCAAGCTGTTAGTCTGACCCCTTTCAAACTTTTGCACTTGAGGTCTTTCTTATTCTTATTCCTTTTCTACTATTATTTTGGGGTGTTTGACGAGACCCGGTCTTGGACTTCCTATCCTGACGGCTGCCCCATTACAGTAGCTGCATAGTACGGAGTATTTATTCCGAGGTTACTCCCGAGTCCCAAGCGTGGTTTATCGTAAAGAAAAGCAAGCATACTGGCTAAGCACCAAATTCTCTGTCACGCCTATTATCTATTTCGAAGCTTAGTCCACCCGCTATTACCCCTCGACCCGCTCATGGGAGTGCTGGAAGCATTTATCCTAGACACTATGGAAGTTGCGTCTCCCAAGCTAGATCGAGAATCACGCATCAGCCGTGAGCCATCTGCAGGCGCGCGAGAAACTGCCTGCGCAGATTCTTGAGGTATGTCGTCCCATTCTTTTTCCTCCACCAATTCCCATTCCGCGCTGGCCATCTCACCGAGAAGTGTCGATTTCAACCTATCAACTACTTTTGTCGGAGTAGGTAGTCTCCAGTTCCGGATAAATTCAACACCCTCAGATGCGCCTAGGAAGGAGTGAGCAGTGCCATGCGAATAATGACCAAGCATGGGAAATGATTTCGTTCGCTGAATGGTTGCTCTAGGGGAATCTTTGGGAGATTTGAGTTTCGTCTGAATCTCGCGAGCCGTAAGGGCTCTTACAAGTGTCGACGACTGCCCGGGGGGCGCGACGAGGAGCTGCCATAGGTTTTTCCCGATATCACAAACTTCTTCCCAAGAGTCGGACCCTAGATTAAGACCTTGGCTTCTACATAGCCAAGACACATTCCACGCTAGTAGTGTAGCTCCTTCAACGAAGAGAGCATAAGCCCCAGGATCCTCCTTGGCTAGCTTTGGAAGTGATATCTCAATCCGAAGTGGCCGAGGCCGAGGTAGAAAGACATGTGTATCAGCGGCGCGGGATACCGTTGGACTCGGCGAAAAATAGTCCGGGTAAGATGCTGAAAGCGCCTCTCTTGGAAGATAGGACGCGGAGGGCGTGTATATAGTTGGCATCGGATAATTTTTATGTGGAAGAGTTAACTCGGCTGGAAGCCTCAGCGACAAGTAGTTGGAAACAAGGACAAGGATGTGGGCTATGTAAGAGAAAGAAGTCGAAATATGGTCTGGCGAAGTGCCTGCTAAAGTGTTAATGTTTGCGCGACCAGAAAACCAGGGATGGGACTTTCCATTCATTTCTCTTAGATCAAGAATGGGTACACCTCCAATTGTGTATGTTTCCTTTAGCCCATCGTCTTTTTTCCTGACCCTTTGTCTTAAACCGTAGAGGCTAGCAGCTTCCCGGCATAGGAAAATTCGGGCCTCAGCTGTTCTACTGTGATTAGAGTGCCAAATATGATCCGTCCTTTTGATGTTATTTCGGACGCCGCCTAACAGCCCCGTCTCTCGCTCCGAGAGTTGATATAGAGCGGATGCTGAGTCGGATCGCCGACGAGCTAACCATATCTTGCGTTGAGAAATCTCGATTTTCTTATTTTTAATCCGAGACCGTAAGCTTTCAATTTGGCCAGCAGCGGCCTTCATTCTTGTCAAAGATTGAGCTTGCGCATTGCTCATACTTTGAAGAACCCAAAGCCTACTAGTTCCGTTCACCCCTGGCACATTATGTTCTCTGTCTTCACTTAAAAGTTTTTCTTGACTTAGTCTAGGATTCGTGGCGGCTTCGATTTGTTGGCCTAGGTATTCTCTTTCCAAAAGAACTCTGACGGTATCAGTGCGTAGTTGGTAAAGCCGACTCCTCGCACATGTTTGACAGATAAACGCCGGTGCTTGAACGCGAGAACATATGTCGCAACTCATTGTAAGAGGATAAAAGCCGCACAGTAGGTCTTCGACGTGATAAATCAAAATCCCAGGACATCAGGTATTGATGTAGTAGTTCGGCTGCTCGGATTCAAACCCATAGGTATCGACTGAAACGGCTGCATAGGAAAATAAATGAAGCATGCCTCGTTCTAAGTAGTCACAAGGATAAACACGGCGGAAGATATGGGAGGATTTTGTGACCTGGATGTAAGCAGGATATAGTTATCTTAAGTACCAGCATTTTGATGGGAAGATTAGAGGTTAGCCTAGTCGGAGGGAGGCAACGACGTCACCTGATGCTGCCTCAGGCAGCGATGACCGTATTTACCTCAACAACCCTCTTGTTCCTTGGTCCTGGCTGGGTGTAATTTGAGACCCAACGTCAACCATCTCATCAGCCTATTCTTCCTACCTTAGTTGTTAAATTCAGCAACTAAACAATTTTCTTCTTAAATTAGAAGGGAAGGGTAGGTTGGAATTGGTGAACAGAAAACATATACAACCCAAAGTAGTGACCACCCAAAAGTGCGTTGAATTAGATTTTCCGGGTATCAAATCACTAGTGCCTATTCAGCAGTAACTGTATCAAGCACTCCTTACCTCTTCTCATACATGAAGGAAGGGTTTTTTTTTTTTTTGAAGCAACTCCGCAACAAACGACAATCGCTATCCCCACGAGGCAGAGAAATAAGAGCATCCAATAAGCACCCCGACCCGCAAAGCTCTGAATATGATACACCGCAACCTCTAAAAGAATGTGAGTTTTATTCTCTGAAATTCGTGTATTGTTGATGAGTTTGCATCTTATTTTTGTTATTTCAGCTGAATTTAATACGGTGAGCATCCGGCAAACCCTATTAATCGACATGGGGTCTGGTGACAAAACACCATCTCGCCTTCATGGCCCAAAATCCGGGGCGGTTCGAGGCAAGGCCGCTGTTGAGCAGCCAGATGTTGCGGAGAATGAACCGGAACTCAACGAGAGAATCATGGATTGTGACTGGTCTCAACTTGAAAGCAGCTACATACGGATGATGGACCAACATGAGAAATCTGATGAAGAACTGCGAGACCGTATTACGAAACTGCTCCAGGTACTTTATAATGGATATAGCACTTACCCCGCGGGCTTTGACATGAATCTCTAGGTATTCACAGCTTGGTCGCAAACCACAGTCGAGCATGATGAAACAAGAGCCTTGAAAAGGTTAGTTATTCCACGAAATATGGCGTACATAACACTAAGTATGTTTATTCATAGGTTCCGGACGCAGATGCACCACGTCCAGAATTCCGAGGAGACTCTGGAGAAAAAGCGGAAGCACTGTATGTCGCAGCTAAAATGTATGTTCATGCCTAACAATTTCATACCTACAGACATGGATGTTATAAAGGCTTTTGAAAGTGCATTGGCACTTTTAAATGACCGTGTGAAGCCTTAAAGATTATAAAACCTAATGAATATGGGTCGATGGTCGACTCAAGTTTTTTCTTTTTTTTTTTTTCGGCTATCATGATTCTTAGAGCAAATGGGACTGGATTGAAAATAAGAGCAGGGATAAGCCCGAGGCCTTTTGTGTTTGAAATCCAGCACAGTCATGATTTACCTATCGGTTGAAAGAGTTGCCAAATCGGATTAATTTTAAGATATCCCGGGGTCCAGAAAGATTTAGTCCTCTTCCCTTCGAATATCGTTACGCCTGTTAGCCCTGCCAATAACATTCTGCCACTGGGCACCGGTATTGCTTCTGGATCTTGCCAGAAGGGCCTCCTCCTCGGCGTTCTCGGCGTCTTCATCCAGTTGTCGTTCATCTAGTTTTGGAGAGCGTAGAAACGAACCGATAAGGGCAAGTAGATAAATACCTGTTACATGAATATTAGGCAGAATTCCGTCTATGGATTGGGCGTTACTTACCAAGGAAAGCAAACTGAACCCAAAAGAATATCGAGCCAAAAAAAGGAAAATTTATCGATAGCGAATTTAGAAATGTGCTGGCGATACTGGGAATGCAGACCTCCTCGGTAGCCCGACTATTGATTGCTTCTGAGCAAGGTATGATAAGATGCCTGGCTTTTGAGCAGTCCGGTTGCATCCCGGATAAATCAGGAGCACGATCGCAGAACGTTTGCGGCCCAAATGTTGCATACTGAGGTGCAACGATCATAGATATTGAGTAATTGAGAGCAAGGATGGACAAGACCAACATGCCCGTCATCAAGAGTATGGCCTGCGGAGATGTATGGCCTTTTCGAACCTGAAAGATATTGATCCATAGAAATCGAATACCAACGGTAGTAATGCCAACAATTGAACTGCAGAAGAATAGTAACACAAGCATAGTAAAGAAAACGTAGTCAACCGGAAATACCTTGGCTGATTGGACAAATATTTGGTTGATGGGGTTGAAGATGTTGATGTGCCCAAGGATATATCCGCAATGATGCTTGCATATTGAGTTTTTCGCCTTGTCAATAGCGGTTAGGAACATAGATACCCAAGTTAATAGCGCAACAGCCAGTAGTATCAGCCCCCATAAAAGTTTAAACGGGCGGCAAAAAGCTTCAAGCTTAAACCACACCCTCATCAAGAAGGGTTGGGAACCCCCTTCTGCCTCCTGCGCTAGGTGATGCCTCCTGATTAATGTTCTCTCTTCCCGCGCTAGAGCGTCCAGCTCTCTGCGGTCCTTGGAAGATAAGAGTTCTGAATTCCCCCTACAGCGGCCTTCTAATTGGCGCTGCCGTTCTCTGTTTGATTCAAGCTGCACAGAGGAGGTTGCGATCAAGCTTTTGGTTGATAATGAATGGCCACCTTTGATCAGGCGAATTGGAAGGATAGCTAAGCCTATTGGGGTGTGTAGAACATACACGCACATTCCGACCATTATAAACAAGCCCAAAGCAAAAATAAGAGCGCGTTCGATATCTGATAAACGGTTATCAGCACTAGACCAGGAGAGATAGGTGATCCGAGTAAGAGAGGAAGGGGCTTACGATTTCCGCCTATTAGATTCTTGAAGAAATCAAGACCGCCTCCATCGTTAGCTTTAGAAATAGGCACGAAAAGGCCGACAGAAAACATGATGATCAAGATGGCAACAAATGATAGTGTGTATTTGGAAGCGCCCCAAAACCGCTGTCCGACGGACTGCTCCCCTTCTTGAGCTGCCACCTCATCGTATTCTTCATACCAAAAATAGGCAAAAGGGATAACGAGAAGACAGAGTAGGATGTCCACCGAGTATAGGATGTAGTATACGAGAGTTAGAGAGAGGGTAATGCTGTCCACTACTTCCTGAGTGGCCCAGTCCTTGCGTCGGCCCTTGGACGATGAGACCGTGGAAGAGACCAGCGCAACATCAACTGGTAGTAAAAGAACAGTTGCAAGAAGACATACGATGGCAACTATGCACACCAGTGTCACTGATAAAGAGCGGTCGCGCGGAGTCTGATAAACATGAACGAACACCGAGGCGACCATAAATAGAATGGCCACCACGATTGCATAGACCGCCCAAATCAGGGATGTCTGCCAAAGAGCCATAGTGAATATACCAACAGCCGCATGGAAAGTTGGTTATTGGAGTATCGAGCCAGGCAATATCATCCCTTATATCTAAACTTGGCGTTGGGGTGTACTTCGTGGATCATGGTGGGTTGGTCGACTTACGTCATTCAAGGTCCAGCAGAACAATAAGTTACAAGAAATCACGTGCAGGTTAGCGGAGAGCTGCCCCTGGCGTGCGGAGGAAAATATGCCAATCGCAGGAGCAATTTGAAGATCCCCAAAACCTCATCAATACCAGTGTCATGCTGATGGTTGCTCGATGCTCTTCTGGTAAATGAAATCAATTGCCCATCGATCTTGTTTCTTTTAAGGCTATATCCCTACTTAGTCGGTAATGTCTTCTCCCACGCAGGACAGTTGAAGTGCTACGACAGGCTCCTCGGGTTATTAGACCTATAGCTCGCGAACCCCCCCCCAAATTTACGACGCCGAGATGCAGTGCTATACTGAGCTGTTGCCCCCAACAGGGATCACTCACGCATTAGCGATTCCTTTTCTTTCTTCAACTGCCAGCAATTTGGTCGTCGTCAGGACGTCGCTTTTTCAAATATTCTCTCTATGTACTGTACAATCGGGTTCAGACGACCCAAGGGAATGGCCGACACAAAAGGTGCAAGATACCCATAAATTGGTTTTGGAGAGGGAGTATCAGCTCCCGGGAACGGTAACCGACCTTTGTCGTGTTAAGATCTTGAATACGAAGAGTGGCGGAGATGCAATCCTTCTTGCCTCCCGAGATTCTAAACTGAGCTTGATCGAATGGGACCCGGGGCGCCACGGCATTTCCACCGTTTCCATTCATTATTACGAGCGTGATGATACGACCATTAGTCCATGGGTATCCGATCTGGGCAGTTGCGGCAGTATGTTGAGCGCAGATCCGAGTAGTCGATGTGCGGTATTCCAATTTGGCGCTCGAAATCTTGCAATTATACCTTTCCATCAGCCTGGAGATGATTTGGTCATGGATGACTATGGGTCTGAATTCGGTGACCACAACAAATCGGACGGAAATTCGAAGGCCCGCGATGAAGCTAAAGCTGAAAGTGACATCGCATATCAAACTCCATATGCGTCATCATTTGTCTTGCCTTTGACTGCATTGGATCCTTCTGTCCTCCATCCCATAAGTCTGGCTTTTCTTTATGAGTATAGAGAACCAACTTTCGGTATATTGTACTCGCAAGTCGCAACCTCGGATGCTCTTCTCCACGAAAGAAAAGATGTTGTGTTTTATACGGTTTTTACGCTTGACTTAGAACAACGTGCATCTACAACCCTACTCTCTGTTCCTAGGTTGCCCAGTGACGTGTTTAAAGTGGTGGCCCTTCCACCCCCTGTAGGAGGATCGCTACTTATTGGATCAAACGAACTTGTACATGTCGACCAGGCCGGGAAAACTAACGCTGTCGGGGTTAACGAATTTTCGAGACAAGTATCTTCGTTTTCAATGACCGACCAGTCCGATTTGGCCATCCGTCTCGAAAACTGTGTTGTGGAACGATTTATTGAAGGTAATGGGGACCTTCTTCTGGCGCTATCCACAGGGGAGATGGCTCTAATTAGCTTTAAGCTTGATGGAAGGTCTGTCTCTGGATTATCGGTTCACCTTATGTCTGCCCAAACAGACATGTTTCTGGCCTCGACTACTTCATGCTCCGCTTTCCTTGGTCATGGAAAGGTTTTCTTCGGTAGTGAGGATGCGGATTCGGTGCTATTGAGCTGGTCGTCTATGTCTTCGGTAACAAAGAAATCTAAATCGCACGCAAGACACAGTATTTCAGGGGACTTTTCGGATGATGATTATCAGAGTGAAGATGATGCTTACGAAGACGACCTATACTCTTCGGCACCCGACAGGACGACCGACAATCGTCAAGAGGTGCCCGTTAGTTTGTCAGCCGTTGGGCTCGGCGATTTGCGGATTCATGACAAGCTATTTAGCTCTGGCCCCATCAATGATGTTGTGCTTGGGAAGAGCTCTGAAGTCTCTCCAAACAGTGATGGAGTGGCAAAGACTGCGCTATCTGAGCTTGAGTTAGTGGCAGCTCAAGGCTCGGATGGGGGTGGCGCGCTGGTGATTATGAAACGGGAGATCGACCCCTACATTGTAGCATCAATGGCCACAGATTCAGCGGACTCTCTTTGGACGGTATCCCTGACACAAGCACCGGCAGACAACGGCAATCTGAAACAGCATGACTATGTCATACTATCAAAGCAGGAAAGTAATGACAGGGAAGAATCCGAGGTATTCATCTTGGAAAATAAATTAAGGCCATTCACGGCACCCGAGTTCAATCCGAACCACGATTTGACCATAGAAATTGGAACCCTGAAAACCAAGAATAGGGTGATTCAGGTATTGAGGAACGAGGTGCGAAGCTATGATGCTGGTGAGTGTTTGTTACAAGGCCGGATATTGCGACGAAGCCTTTGCTGATGAAGTAGGTCTCGGGTTGGTCCAAATTTATCCCGTATGGGATGAGGACAACAGCGACGAACGAGTGGCTCTCGGTGCTAGTCTCGCCGATCCTTACCTGGCAATTATACGCGACGATTCGTCATTACTTCTGCTTCAAGCTGATGACAGCGGAGATCTTGACGAAATGACGGTAGCCGAGGATGCTGCAAGTCAAAGGTGGCTGTCCGCTTGCTTATACGCTGATAGGACTGGTTTCTTCTCCAATTCCAAGTCGCATCGGGGAAACCTGGATCCCCAAAACATATTTTTGTTTTTGTTGAACCAGGATCATCAGCTATATGTGAGTGCCTTCAAGCTTTATCTTGTGGTTGTGTCAAGACTGATGAATACAATTAGATATACCGGCTTCCTGACTTAAAATTAATGACAACCATTGAAGGAGTCGGCTGTTT